TCTACGTGTGAAATAAAAGGCAAATGTTTCATTCAAACTGCACCAGTCAGAGATCCCAGGAGTCTGGCTGGTTTCGGCCACACAAGTGTTTTGACCCGGGGCTGTAGAATACTCTGGCCGAATTCTGCACTGAGAACACAGGTCTCTTAGGAACTGTGACTGCACTGGAGGCCTGAGGAGAGCCAGCTGCTTCCTGGAGGAAGCCCACTGCTTTATAGACAAAGCTCCCCCCAGAGCTAGGGCCATTCATACCCTGCTTTATCTGGCCCTCTTCTGGAACCCATGGGAGGTAGGACTAGACCATTTCTCACACAACCCTGGCTGCTGTTGGCTCCTGAAGCAGGGCTGCTCTGAGCTTCAGGACCCTTCCTTACACTGTTCCCTATCCTAATGGCCCTCCCCACTTGGCTGCATCTCATCCTTTAAAACTCCAGCCTGGTGGCTCTAGGCCGGGGAAGGGTATGTGGCGGACCACTGATCATGCTGGTAACTTCCTCGAGGTCCCATTTGCTAGGAGACCCCTCATAAATTCCTCCCCTCTATTTCCAGCTGGAGGCACTGCCTTGTCACTGTAGGACATGAGCCCTCCGGCCCCTGCCACACCCCACTCCAGGTTCTTAAGAGCAGGAGGGCTTGGCCCAGGGCCGGGCACGCAGGAGATGTATGGCAAAAACACATGCAACAGAACTAAACCTGAATTTCTGCTGAAAGCAGACATCCTGGCTGCTCCCAGAAGGCATGTGCCCTGGCAGGGCTCTGCCCTTGCCCGAAGATCCCAGCTTCTCCCACCTCTGTGTCTCCTGAATCCATACCAAAGAAGCCTGGTTTGGCAGGGACCCCCCCCGCCCCAGGATTCGACTTTAGCCTCATGACCTGCCCTCTCATTACATGAAAGTGGCTTGGGTCTCCTTCCTCAATTCTCCCTTCTACCCTCCCTGTCCCCCTGCCTAGGATGAGGCAGTGGCTCCCTAGGGCCTTTGAGAGCATCCTTGCATGCCCCTCAGTACACAGAGAAGTAGACTGAGGCAGAGAGAAGGCCCGTGCCCAAGACCGTGGGTGCTGGTGCACACTGGGGTGGCCCCTCCTTGGATTCAGCTGCAGAATTTCAGCTACGGGTAGGGCCAAATTGCAAGGTCCAGGCCCTGAACCACCTCCATAAGCATGTCTATTCAGGAACGCTGCAGCGGGGAGGCTGGGGAGCTGGGTCAGGCTGGGGGTGCTACCGGCAGCTTCTGGAAACCTAGGCATGTACCAGATAGACAGAAGCTAATTAAAGGAACATGATGGTTTTTAACCATGTGATGACATTGCAGTTCTTCTCCTGTAACCCTGTGACATGACATCCCCCATCCCTTTAGCTGCCCCCGGGAGCTGCCATGGTAGCTCAGCTCCTGCCCAGCATGTGTCCCTCTCTGGTGCAGTCTTGCTACCAAGGGACCCAGAAGGCTCTGGGCATTTGGTGAACATAGCAGAGCAAAAGGGGTGGAGGGGTTGGTGATGGCTAGGAAGGGCATCAGACAGAAGCCCCTTCTTCCTCCATCCGGGCAGAGGAGACCTTTTCTCACGGCTTGGGCCCAGCCATCACCCAGCCACAGTGACAGTGAGGGACAGAGGGGGTCTCTGCCACACCCATCCCCTTTCCTTCAGCTCTGATTCAATAAACTACAAAGGCACAGTCTGTCTCTGGGCCTCAGTTTCCCCATGTGTGAGGCATTGGGCAAAGCTCTGAAGGCAGGAGGCCCCTCTGTGTCACTCCCTGTGCCGGAGAAGCCTTCCCTGGTGAGATACCCAAAGATCCCAGCGGGGCCGAGCCACTTCTGCCCGACCACCTGCGGTCACCGGGCCCTCTCCTGGCATTCGAGTGGAGCCCACACGCCACCCAGTGGCGCAGCTGGGTAACTGCAGTGAACTCTTTCAACCTGTTTCCCACGTCCATCGGGCGCCACCTGATTACGAATGATGATCCGTTAAAAGGAGTCTTAACTCCGGAAGGAGAAAGAGTTCCATCATCTTAATGACGGTGAGGTTGTTTTCTATCATTGCGGCAGGAAGGGACGTGACCTCAGGGGTGTCTCATGGGGTCCTGCCAGTTTCGATTAAACAAGTCCGTAAAGATTACGCGTCTCTGGCTCCCAAACCTACTGCTGACGCAGCTCGTCCCTGTGCCTCACAGCCGCACCTTCCCCTACGGGCGCCTTGACATTCCTACACGCTGGTATGATTACAGCTTAACCTGGCTGGACCTGGAACTAACTTCCCGTTGGCATGACCTCGCGCTGATCTCTCTCCGTCTTGCCGCGCTGCACCTAGACGTTATGGTGTGGGGATACCCAGCATCCCAGCTTATGCAGAGGACATGTTCGGGAGCAGCGGCGTGCTTTGCCTGAGTTCACAGAAAGATGCAGAAGCCCTCTCCTCTGGACTCTCCTCCCCGCCCTCCACCATCTCCCAATTCAGGGTCCTGGGGAGGTGGCTTGGCGGAGCTGACCTTGAGACAACTGTCCGCCGCATTTCCTTCTTCCCTGAGGTCAGAGAGGGTGCCCATGTAAGGAAACAAGGGCATGAGGAAGGAGGCAGCTGACACAGAGTTGCTGCCCCCCACTGCAGGTGTCCTCCACGCGGGGAAGACAGAGGACCCTGCCCCATCACACTCAAGGCCACAGCTGCCCCTCCTGGCCCCCAGTCCTCGTGCCTTCCTAGTTTGGCTCAGACAGTTTTGGAGGCCAGGTTTGAGTAGCTGCCTCAGAAGGGCTCCCCAATAGAGGGTCCTTAATACCTTTTCATTAGCCCTACTGTGTGCTGGACTCAGCACCAGCAAGGCAGCCAAACCGGGTAACTCCGATCAGACACAGCGCCACCTGGCGCGGGCCCCCACAGGCTGCCTGAGCCGGCCTGGCCCTGGTGGTGGTGACTGGGCTCTTCCTCACTGTGGATGAGGTTCTAGGGTTCTAGGATGGAAGGAGCTAAGCTGCCCCACGGGAGGCTGGGAGTAAAGGACTGAGCAGAGAAGAGCTTTTTCTGCTCAGGATGTCAGACTGTGGGTTGGAGGTGCAGACAGGGAGGACTCAGGAGCCAGCTCTGCTTTCAGTCCCTGCAGACTGGCTATGGCCTTTGCAAGTCCTCTTCCTGGTCAACCGTGCTGGGGCAGAGCTGAGACTGGTGGGGGCCGGCCAGGGAGGGTAGGGAAGAGCAATTATGGTAAAATATCCAAGAGCCAAACCCCTGCCCTTGAAGATCTCATAGTCTAGTCGAGGGAGAGCCCATAGCACATGGGGCACACACCCTGGTGCGGAGGCAACCCAAGAAGGCAGGGGACAAGAAAGATCTCCTGCAAGATTAACAAGGGCTTTTCACGTGGGCAAAAGGAACAGGGCCTTCGTGTTCCCAGGAGGATGGCACATAATGTCCAGCATGAGCACGGAGGCAACAGCAGGACCGAGCTGGCCACGGCCATCGTCCTGACACGGGGCCACCATGGGGGCAGGGAGGGACAGAATTTGATCCATGGCTGGAGGAATGGCCGAGGGTTCCTGAGGGTGGTGCCTGGCTCTGGGAACCCAGGGCCTGTGATACCCAGTGATGAGGGGCAGGCTGGGCAGTATGGCCACTGCTCTGAGCTTGGGGGAGCCGGGGCTCAGGCCTGGTCCACTGTGGGTCATGGATGGGGCGCCTTGCAGTGTGGCAAGAGAGAAGGACAGCACTCTGTCAAGAAGAGTGGGAATGGTGCAGAGGGCCAGGGTCCTCTGTGTCTATGGGGACCTCTTCACCTCCCAGGCCCGGCTAGCGCACCCCCAGCTTTGCCTAAGCTGGGAGTTTGGTTCCTGGAACTTGCACTCAAACCGTCCTTACTAAAGTGGAAATGACACAGACCCCAAGCCCTGGAGACAAACCCGGCCTCCCTTGCAGCTGCCCGAGGAGCTGGGCCCTCAAACCCTCCCCTGGGTGTTTTGGTGAAACTGCTCTCAGGATGCGTGGGATGGTGGCCAGTTCCAGCCACTAACATCATGAAAGTGACCAACTTAATACTTCTTACTGTACAAACTTTTATTTGGATGTGGCTACTTGGTAAATAGTGAACAGTAATCATCCCAGGCAATAAAATGGATAAATGGTAGCTTTTCAAGATAACACAGTGGTCAGGAAGTGAGTGGTCAACAAGAATAAGCCAGAATTTTCTCTTTGGTGGCTCCCTGTACCTGCCCCCCATCCCCCAGGAGCAGCAAAAAAAAAAAAAGAAATTGGTACAAAACTGTAAGCCCAGAATCAGCTAAGAATAGTCCCTTTCCGTAATAATTTATCTCATTTCAAAACCAGAGCAGACACGTGCAGCCGTGGGGCCATGGCCTGCTCCCCCCGGGGCGGGCACAGATGAAGACAGGCCAGAGGGCGCAGCTTCCTTTTGAAAAACATTTACTTTGAGATCAAGCACCTCGATTTTATGTTTCTGTGTGCATAACGCCACCCTTTCCTTTGAGAATGGCCCCAAATCACGGATGCCTTTGCATGTCGGGGTGTGCGAGCCCTTCCCCGCATGAGGCCCCACCCAGCTGGTGCCACTCAGGGGGACGCAGGGGGCATGGGTGCATGTGGAAGAGCATGGCCTCCTGAGATGTCCCACGTGGTGGGACAGAAGCCCACAGAAGAATCCTTGCCTGGAACGTCCTGCCTCATTTCCTTGACGGTCTTTTCTGAGGGAAAAGGTGGCTTCTAGTCCTTAGGAAACAGGTTTCTGGAGGCCTGGCACAGGCGTCCGGCAGCCTTGCGGTTTTCTGACAGGCCTGACTTGTGGGGAAGCAGGCCACCCCTCCCCCGCCCCCGTTCTCACTGCATAACAATTTTGTAGAGTCAGTCACTTATTTTCCCCACAAATCTACCCTCAAAGTTGCTTTTATGAAGATCTCCCTTGGATCCCAAAACTAGGGAGGAAAGGGAAGGGGGGAGTGGGATGGTGGCGGGGGGGGGGGCAGTCTGGCTCGTCCCTGTCAGCTCCCCCGGGGGAGGGGAGAGCGGATTTGCACCACTGCTCCAAAGCAAAGGTGGAACCATGCCTCAGGAACAAGGTCTGTGGGTCTTCTTCAGATCTGAAGGCATCGACAGCACCATTTTGATTTTAACAAAACAAGAGTGAGGGTTCCCTTAAACCTGCTCCGGGGGAACCTCACTCCTGAGGCAGAATCCCCAAACCGGTGTGACAATGGCAGATCTGGGATTCTCACCTGTGAGGACTTTGGATATCGGTTTTCCAGAAGAGTGAGGTTCCCCGTCAGAACGGACAGTTACTTTCCCAGGCAAAAACCAAACCAACCAAACCAACAAGCAAACAAACCCCCCAGCTTTTTCATATTCGCCATAATGAATTAAAAATGTTCAAACAGAGATGGCAGAGCGCGATTTCATCACTCAGTCTGAGAAGTTGGCCTGTGCAGCCTGTTGATGTTCTTGCTGATCTTCTGTTTGTCATCCACATGGTGAATGTGGAGAGCGACTTTCCGGAGCCCATCATCCCGGTGTTGCTGGAGCGCTTCTCCCCGCGGCCCGGCTCCCTGCCTCTTCAGTGGTAGTAGATGCTGAAGGCGTGGAGGATGTAGAGCAGGGCAGTGATGAAGGCGAAGAACTGGAAGGAGACCGGAGGCCCCTGCATTAGCGCTGGCCAGGGCCGACGGCCGCCCCCACCCCTTCCCTGCAGTCTGGGAGGCCGCATGTCCTGACCCTGCTCCCCCTGCCTGCCCCATGCCCGGCCAGGCAGACACCGCTGGCCCCCCTCTCCACCCTCCTTGATACCTGCCATCCCTGGGCACCCTCCTGGGTTCCCGCTCCGACTCTCCTGGGCACACATGTCCTCCTGAACCTGGGCAGAGAGCAGGCTCGCTCAGTCCCTGCCCCGGGTCCTGTCTCCCTCGCTGTCCCCTTACCCCAGCCAGTCTGGAATCTGATGACTTCCCCGACATGTCCACCTGGTAGCCCAGGACCCTGCATTTGCGCGCCTGCTTGTCAGCTCCTCGTCAATGCTGCGGAGGCCCCTCCAGCTCTCAGTGGTCCAGACTGGACTCCTGAGCTTTCCTCCTTAGCCTCACCAGCTCAGGGGGCTCCAGGACCCCTATCTCATCCCGCTGCCTGACAGAAACCAGCCTGATGCCTCCCTCCCCCCCCCCCCCCCACGTCCACAGCCATCCCCAAACTCGTCTGCGTGTACTGCCTGACCATCCCTTGTCTCGGCCGCCGCCGTCCTTCGCCAAGACCTCTCGTGGACTCGACTTGCCCACTTCTGCTCACTCTCCCCCCCTATCTGTCCCAAGAGGAGGATGTGATTGCGCTGCTCCTGACATACGTTTGAAACTGTGTGAGGAGTCCCTGCTTCTCAGGATAGAGGCCATTGCTCTTAACAGGCCTCCCAGGCCTGGAGGACCATTCCAGCCTCACTTTGCCCCACTGTCCACTCACACCCTGTTCTCATTTATTCGTTCATTTGCTCATTCAACAAATATCTGCCAAGTGCCTGCTATACTTCAAAAGTGACAGTAGCCATAAGAGTGAACAAAACATTCAAAAATTCCTATCCTCACGGTGCTTACATCCTAGCGGCAGAAGCAGAAAGTAAGCAAGATAAACCAATAGAGGCGCAGGTTCGCTGGGGATAAGCGCCCAGGAGAAAAGGCGCCAGAGAGAACACAGGCCTGCTGGGGAGGGGGAAGGGCAAGCCTCCCCGAGAAGGAGAAGGAAACCGGGGCTTTGCCTCCTGGAGCAGGGCTGTCCCTGCCAGGGAGAGGCGAGAGCAGGTGTCCAGTGTTCAGGCGCGGCTGGAGGAGACCAGCGAGGCTGGAGCAGCTGTCGGAGCGGGGGGCGAGCAGGAGGAGAGAGGCCAGAGGGCACCGGGCCAGACCGCGGAAAGGCGGCTGCGTGTGGGTCTTGCTGGAGTCAGGAGTTTAGGGGAGTTAGGATAGTTTGAGGAGGAGGGAAAGGAGGCAGACAGGCTGGAAAGGCCACCCTAGTGCCTGCCTGGCACCCCATTCTTACAGTGGAGAATGGCTCCCCACGCCGCACCCCCCTCCTCCTGCCACCTGATGCTTGCAGGAGCCCCCACACTGACGCGGGACGTGACCTTTCTGGTCCCAGCGACTGGTCGCTGTTGGGCTTACGCCCAGTGCGCGTGTTAGATCCTTTCTGAGAAGTGTTCAAAGGCGCAAGAAGGAAGGTTAGGCCACTACAGAGGAGGAAGCTGCTGGCTGTGAGCAAGCTGTCACATGAGGGCGCCATTCCCCCACGGGAGAAGAGAGGCTGTCAGGAAGGCGGGCACTGGCTGTCTCTGGTCCTAGCGGACCTAAGGTCTTGGCGGTCCTGCTCTCCCTACAACTGGCTGGACCACCTGGCCCTGGATTCCATCAGCCCACAGTTAGCCCTGTGCACTGACGTCACTGACACGAAAGGACCCTGGCACAGTTCGGCCATGCTGAGGAATTTGGGTTCCATTCCACAAGCAGTGGGGGCCATGGAAGAATTTTCAATAGGGGAGAAAGATGCGCTCCAGTTTGTGTTTTCGAAAAGTTCTGAGGGCAGTATAGTGGGCGTACGAGTGAGCAAGGCTGAGGTGGGAAAAGCAGAAAATGAGAGATGACACCTGAACCTGGGCTTGGTACCCTTCGAGCTTGCACACGGCTGTTTACATGTGCATGTGCGCACACACAGACACACACACACACACACACACGGACCCAGATACACACACATAGAGCACATACACACAGACACAGACAGACACACACACCTCCTCCTGTCCTCCGAGGCCCCATCAGCCTGAGGCTCGGGGTCCTCTGTCCGCAGGAGACAGAAGGGAGCCCCTGTGATGTGCTCCCCACCCCGCGACTCTGTGTCCCATCCGGCACTCACCGAGGCTGCGGTGTTGATGAAGTAGTTCTTCAGGTCCTGGGTCTCAGAAACGATGGTGGCGTGTGCCTGCAGGACGGCAGCACTCATGTACAGGATGCCCGTGGTGCCGTGGTACAGGCTGTCCTGGAAAGGCAGAGGGAGGCCACGGCCAGCGTCATGGGGGCACATAAGCAGGTGAACACTTTCCCCTTGGCCTATACAGCCAGGAGGAGTGGGCCAAAGAGACCAGCCTGCTCCCAGCCTCCTGCTTTTTCCTTCTGCAGTGTTTCTGGTGAACTATCGATGCAGTGAACCATAGTGGATTAATAAATGCCAACAGTGATATCAATACGAGCCAGCATTTGGCTGAGCGCTTACTCGTGTCAAGGCTTTCTCACGCACCTCATGTAACCTTGTCAAGAATAGGGTTGGCACTACTTAACGTTAGTGCCATTTTGAGGAAATAGAAGCTCAAGGTTAAGGTCAATGAATAAATAGCCAAGTCAGGATTTAGACCCAGGCCAGACTAACTCCGAGCCTGTGCTCTTAACCATTAGCATTATGAAGACCTGCTATGTGCCGGCCACTGTCCTACAGTATAGGCACACTGCCTCATTTCATTCCCACAGCTAATGTCGTAAGGCTGCTGCCGTTATTAGCAACCCCGACGTGCAGGGGATGGGACTGGGGCTAAGCCAACATGTGGTGGAGTTGGTAGCGTCAGGCTTATCGGACTCTAGATTCCAATGGTTAAGCCTCTCTGCTAAATGCTCAGCAGTGTGCTTTCTTCAACTCGAGAATGTCAGGCAGTCATTAAAAAGGGTTATCAATTCTGGAAGGAATGTCATCATTGGCATTTTGCAAATCGGCATTTTGCAACCCCTAATGAGATATTCGGTTCGGGAAAAACTCATTAGGGGATGAAAAAAAGCATTAGGGAAAAAGTGGCTGGGGGTAAGTCTGTCATGCTGGAAGAGGGGCCACCAGCCACCATGTGTGATGTGACCAGAAACCACTTAATGAAACGCTGTTGCCAGAAAGGTTCACCCATCTTCAATTCAGGGACTTGGAGGAGCAAGTCACATCATACCAGGAAGAAGCTAACAGACAAACCCCAAACATCGGACCTTCTGTAGGACAGCTGACCTGCCTTCTTCAACCAGTCACTGGCAAGAAGAGCCATTCTAGGTTAAAGGTACCCAAGAACCATAACTACCAAGAGCAACACGTGGCCCCTGTGAAGATCCCCATCAAACAGGCCAACAGTAAAAAGCCATTTCAGGTGTAACCAGGTAAATCTGAATATGGCCTGGGTCTTAGATGATACCAAGGAATGATTGTTAATAACTTTATATAAGCGTGATGATGTAAGAAAGTGCGCATATTTTTTTGGAGGCCTACTGAAGTGTGTAGAATGGAATGATATGATGTTTTGGGTTTGCTTTAAAATTCTGTAGGAAAAAAAGGCTAGGTGCAGCAAGTGTGGTAAAATGTTAATAGTACAGGAATCTCAGGGTTGGTTACTTGAGGGTCCATAATATGATGTTCCCTACTTTTGTATATGTTCTTAATTGTTCAATACAGAAACATTTTAAATGGTTATCAAGACGATGTGACATGAAAACAATTTAATGACATAATGTTAATGAAAGAATTGATATCCAAAATTATTGGATCAGTGTGATTATATATACAGTTTACATAAAATTTGCGAGGAATAGAGGAATCACTGTGGGACTGGGGTGATTTCCCCCCCTACTATCATTTCCTTCAATGCTGCTCCAACGATTTAAACATAAATAAAATTTAAAGGGAAATGAGTCAGGATGTGCTTGATATCGAATATGTATATTCCTAACAAGGCAGACAGTGGAGGAATACAATGAAACATTTACTGTGGCAGAGGAGTGCTTTCACTCTGGCTTACTAGTAAACACATTCAGATAAAAAGTCTTGGTTCTGTAGTGGCCCAGCCCTGACAAGGCCTCTGGTCGCTGGTCTCTGGCTCTCCCTCCCCGCCCAGAAGGCCCCTCGTCCTCACAATACCCAGGACAGGCATCAGGAGGAGCCCAAGGGCCTGGGTCCCTCCCTCTGGTTCTTACCAGGACTCTCCAGGACTCGAATCTTTTGTAAAATCCAAACAGGTAAGACATCAGGAACATCAGGGAGATGAGAAACGAGGTGAGCGCCACATACATCACCCATCCTTGCAGCAACGGGTTTGCTACCTGGGTGGCAGCTACCAGGATCCAGACCCAGCACCCAAATAGCTGTAAGAAGAAACCATAAAAGAGCCTTGTGTAGGGCATACTTCGCTTTACAGGGCATCTGTCTTCTCTTCTGTCTGGATAAAAGCTCTTTAGGTGAAGTTAGGTGGGAATCAAGAGGGGAAGGAAGGCTGGCCCTGGGGGAAGAGTAGACTTTTTTTTTTTTTAGAAAATTCAAGTGGTTAACACAGAGCTCACTGACGGAAGGACGGGTAATTTGGCCTGTGGATCGTGTCTTCTTGGCCCAAACGATGTTAGCATATACAGTTTTTTTTTTTTTAAGTGGATTACCTCTCTGTTTATTTATTTTTATTTATTATTATTATTTTTAAAGATTTTATTTATTTATCTGAGAGAGAGAGAGAACATGAGAGGAGAGAGGGTCAGAGGGAGAAGCAGACTCCCCACTGAGCAGGGAGCCCGATGCGGGACTCGATCCCGGGACTCCAGGATCATGACCTGAGCCGAAGGCAGTCGCTTAACCAACTGAGCCACCCAGGCGCCCCTAGCATATACAGTTTTTAGAAACATTTCTGAATAAGTTGCCAACATTTAAAACAGGATATTTCACATGAAAAATTCAGATTTAAGACATTTCTTGAGAAATCCATAGTTCTAGTCACAGTGAACACATTGCCAGGCCAGAGTAGGCTAAAATGAGTTGTGACTGTTTCTTTAAAAAAGGACCCGGCGTCCTCAGTGGACCACCTCCCTTTTACCCCCAACCCCACACCACTGTGTGGCATGTTTTCTGTTGTTCACTTTCACTGTGGAATATTATTTCCTTTCCCTGGCTCCCTTTACCCACTCACAGTGCCTGCTTGGCCCTGTGGGCATTTGGTTTGGCCCCCTGGGTTATAGTACTTGACACCCTGTGGTCAGGTACCAGTTGGGCAATACCATTCCAGTTTAATCACCTCTCAGCCCTGTCCAGCCTTTTATTATTCCCTTGGTGGAGAAACCAAACCTTCTTCTCGTTCTCTCTGGGCTCTGCATTTGTTTGCTTACCCATGCTGGTCAGCCCACGGAAAGAACTAAATGTCCACCAGAAAGCATGTTCAGTTAGAGGCCTGAGGGAGAGGGTCAACTTGAGCACCAAGTGGTTTTGTTGTTGTTGGTTTGTCTCAGACTTTCTAGGCTCCTCTCCTTCCTGGGTTCTCCTTAGGATGTCCTTGTGAGCCTCCTTGGTTCTCCCTCTCCTCATTCCTGTTAAATATGTGCTTCTAAGCACGCTATAGGCTCGCGATCCCAGGCCTTCAGTCCCACACAGCCACTTGCCCGCTTGGATGTCTCTATTTGGATGTTCCACTGCAGGGCCAACCCTGCACTCGCTGGACCTCGGGAGTGAATGCCTTATTAAATTTTGCACCCTGAGCACCACATTTGCCCCCACCCCAGGCCTGGCTTTGCCCCTCAAGCTCCTTAAATCCAACAGATACAAAATCTGAACTCACTGCCACTCCCCAATTTCCTCAGAACCTATTCTCCTCAGCACCTTCTGAGAATGACCCTTCTGAGGGACAGAGTGATGGGATTGGGAATGAGTGTACTGAGACCTTCAAAGATAGGGAATAATGTTCTATTTCTTACACCGCCTAGTGGGTAATTTGTTCTTTTATAAAGCAATAAAATAACTTTGCAAAAAAAAGAATGTGTTGGACTATGAGACAACACTAATAATTTCTTTAGGAAAGGTCGGTTGGTAGTACTCAGTTTGATTTGTCAGAAAACGTTATTTTTCCCCCGACAATTGTTTCCTCTCAGCACTTCTAAGCTACTTTCCCACTGTGTTCTACAACTTTCTATATTAGCCCATTATATTGCAGCTGCCATTTTTGCTGCTGAGAGGGCAGCTCTCCATTGCACAGCAGCTCTTCTGGAGGAATCTGCCTTTGGTACCCGGCTGCTTTGGGAGTCTTCTCTCTGCCTTTGGTGTTCTGCAGTTTGTGCAACAGTTATACAATGGGTTGTTGAGGGACAGAAGCCACCGTCCCCTCAGAACTGGGCTCTTGCATGTCGAGCTCAGTGACAGGCGCTGCTGGTGCTTTCGGGCACCTGCCAAGCATCCTCCCTACCAACACTTGGGACATGCATAAAAATGCTGGCACACTGTCAACACCCAAACAATGCTAGCTCTTAGTGGGAATGGTATTTGGGATTTAGGGGCTGCACCAGAACTTGTAAAATTTTAAGACTCACATTAGACCTCTGAGGGCAGAGAATGCTCTGTGCCGTTCACTGCTGCTATATTCCCGGTGCCTAGCACAGGGCCTAAAACAAAGTGGGTGGGGATGGAGTCAAAGAACATTCTTTAGAGTGAATCAGTGAGGACACTACCACCACCTCACATTCACCAGGTGCTAAAATGCATTCACTCAGATGGCCTCATTTAGTCTCTACGGCAATTCTAACTCCTTGCACTTCCTTTTTTTTAGATTTTATTTATTTATTTGAGAGAGACACACAGCGAGAGAGGGAACACAAGCAGAGGGAGTGGGAGAGGGAGAAGCAGGCTTCCCGCTGAGCAGGGAGCCCGATGTGGGGCTTGATCCCAGGACCCTGGGATCACGACCTGAGCCGAAGGCAGACGCTTAACGACTGAGCCACCCAGGCACCCCTCCCTTGTGCTTTCTGAGACCAGAGAGCTGCCACTTGATTCCTGCCCCTGATTATTGCCAGTTCACCTCTGCTAGACCTGGGGGTGTGTACCAGGGTGCCTCAGGGCCACTGTGCCCGTCAGTGCCTGCGAAGGGGTCCGCCCCTGCCCCCCTCCTACCTTCAGAGGCTGCCCTGGGCAGACATTGCCGAATGCACACTATTTACATGTCGGTGCTAAATTCTCACCAGTGTGTGAGGTGATGCCGTACTGGAGAGGCCTGAGCCTGAGGTCACACAGGACGTGGGGTAGGACAGCTCTGGATCTCTTCTCACATTAGAGTTCGCCCCCGAGGGCAGGGGCCTCTGAGCATTTGGGTATCTACTCAAATTGCATGAGAATCTTCCGAAATGGCTTTAGTGTTGCATAATCAACGTGACACAGAGGAATGTTATTTTTTTATTTCCACACCCTCTACCTTCTGGACAGAAGGAGGGACCAGGGCCAAGGACAAACGCCAGGTAAATTTAAACCCAGTATCTGTTACCTTATTTCTGCCCCAAGAAGTCTAGGTTGGATTCTTTATGGGTAAGGAAGTTTCAAGTAGTTGTCTTTACTTATTTATTTTTTTAACTTATATTTAGCTTTCCAAATTTTCTTGGCAGGCTAAACTGCTCTCTTATTTTAACCTTCAGTTTGTATTTCCCAAGAGCTGGAGATATATTTAGATGTTTGGGGCTGGCCCTCAACCTGGAAGAGTATTTGATTATAGCAAGATATTGGGATGGCGCAGATTCCAAGTACAGCTTTGCTCAGAATCTGTTTCTTACGAATAAACACAGATTATTGTCTGTACGTCTTCCAAAGGCCAACCTGAAATTTGAAGATTTCTCTTAAGGTAGAATGGAGCTTAACATTAAGTTTGGCCACTGATTTTTCCTGGGAGCATGGCGAATAGCTCCCTCGGGTGTAGAGAGCTGGTTAAAGCACAAGAATATAGGAGCGGAGCCACAGCACCTAGCTCGTACTCTGGGAGAAATGCTGATTCCAGGGCCGGGGCAGAGAAGTTGGGCCCGAGCATCTTATCACCCCAGACAGTGAGAAAACTTTCAAAGGCACCTGGGGTTAGGTCGGGACGATTCAGAAGGCTCTTGCTGACCAAAGATGGGACAATATGAGCTTCAAATAAGGGTAACAGCTGTGGATGGAAATATATCAACTAAGTTGGAATCCATGAGTTGAAAATAATACTTTTAAGAAAAGCCCTGTTTGGGTCACTTTGGTGGGGGGGGGTGCTTATTATTTTGGAAGGCAACTGTGCTCATCATTATATCATCAGTGCTTATTAATTTGAAAACTGCTTACCAAGGAAAAGAATCAACAAAAAATATGGCGTAGGGGTAAGGAGACTCTAAGATACATGGATGCCCGAGGCTTTGGCTCAGAGCTGCGCTCTGAGTTCTGTTACTCCTGGGCTCTTTGAGAAATCCCCAAGGTCTGGATCTTGCCCCAGAGAAGCCTGAGCCGGTGAGAGAGGCGGCGTTGTTCAAAGTTCCCCAGAGGGTGCAGTTTGGACTGAGAACCCCTGGAGCCTGTCTCTTCGTTTCCTGTCCCCTCCACCTGTTGATGTGGCTGGGCGCGCAGCACCGTTCCTCCCTCCGGGTTCCAATTCTAGCTCGGCCTGCTGGGCAGATTACTTGACTCATCGGTACCTCCATGCCCTGGTCCATCAAACAGAGGAGCTGGGGAATGCCTCTTTCATCTTGTTCTTGTAAGAACTAGCTAAGTCCTCTGAGCACACAGCGAGTCCAGGGGAACCACTGTTGGCCATGTTAGCCATAACCATTCGGAACGGCACAGAAGACGGGAGAGAATGTTCCCTGAGAAAGACCCAGAGGAGGGAATGTCCAAGGCCAGGCTTCCTGAGGGGGGAAGGGGGAAGGGAAGTTCACTTCTGGGAGAGCTGGGAGACCAATCAGCTGGGTGAGTGAGAGAACATTCAGGGGGCACAGATCCTTTTGGAGGAGTTGATGAAAGTTTTGGTCACCCAGAAAGATGTACCTATGTACATGCGTGATTTCTGTCCACAAATCTGGGGACTCACAGACCCTCAAAGCCCACCTACAGCTCCCAGGTTGAAATCCACTGCCATCTCCAGGTTAAGTAACAGTACCATCAACTGCTGTATTATTTTGACAATATCAATCAAAACATTAAATACACATATTGTTTGATCCAGTAATTTCACTTTTTGGGATCTGTCCTATATATAACGCACAGGAACAAAATGATGAATGTACGAGGTTGTTTATTGGAGCCTTGCTGGTTACAGAAAAGATAAGATACCTCCTAAATGTTCATCCAGAGAGGACCAGTCAAAGCAATTATATCTGCACAATGGAACACT